AGCCATCGGTGGTAATAATAATGCACAACAAGACACATACGATAACAGTGTTGTCTTCGCGTCCATATTCTTCCCTAATTTTTTGGCCCATTTCCCCCTCCGGGACGCGTAAGTCGTCGCGAGTGTCACCCTTTTCGTTCATCAGAGTCACGAACCCATCATCGCTGATGTCAATCAACTGATCCAACAAAATGAGCCGTTAGTTACCAAACATTACACAAATACAGTACCGTATAAGACACTAAAATGTTAGCGAAAGGTAGCGCCGGTAGGCATTGGATTACTTTACAAAACCTCATAAAACTCTAGATTAACGCCTAAGCCTATCAGCGCCGACATGATATGATACAAAAATTATCCCGGTAATTAAAACTAAAACACTAATCAAAATCTACGATAAGATAACACTGATACAACTGCACTACATGTACGGGTACACAGCAGTGTGAGAGCACCGGTGTCTACAAATGTATTGATTACCTGGAAGTCACTTCGGTTCACATTCGGGACATCGATGTTGTGAGTCGATGGACACAAGTCCTCGTACTTCTTATTAGTGAATATATCGAGTCCTACCAAATGGACCTGAAATACAGACAACAAACACACGTCAAACACATGACACAGGGAGTGACAGTTGTGTGGGACTGGTAGGGTCAGGGGTGTCTGTAGGCCTACCTTGGCGTGTCCGTGTTTGCCAGTCTTGGAAGTGGACATCTCCATGACCTTACAGGGCCGGGACTTAATCATAACGAAGCCATTCTTGCGCAGTGATGAGCACTGTACGGGATATGTGGCCGACGCTCCCGCAGACGCCTCCTGATAGTCTCCCCCGTCGTCGCCTTCCATGGCTTACACCTCACGATCTCCGGTCCCAAGACAACTGGTCCACCGAAAGGGTTGTCAACTGCAATGACAGGTCAGAGGAATGGTATGAAAAGCAATGACTTTTGCGGCGTTAATGCGGGTGACATGCAGTGCGCGATGTGACACCCATTTGTGGTAAACGTGAGATAACTGGTGACAATGAGCGGATTAATTGATTGCGATCTTAAGACACAATTAATTGGCGATCAATTGGCGGTAAACTATCTGCGCGTCCATATTGTGTGAGCGCACAGGGGTTGGACAGACAGACAGTGCGCTCGCATACCAGTGCTCACGGGCTATGAGTGTAGCGATAATTACCAGCAAAGAGTGCGTCAGAGAGGAGTTGCCGACTCTGGTTGTGGTGGCAATGGGTGTCCGGAAGGGTATCTGCAATGAACGAGTCAGTCGTGTGAGTGGACAGCCGTTTGGAGAGCACCGACAGACTCACCACAACGTGTTGTGCGACTCCTCCTCAACGCTGTACTGATGGAGAGAGCGATAGAGAGGGAGAGAGAGAGGGAGAGAGAGAGAGAGGCTGTGAAAGCAGAGGCAGATCAGTGCACTCGCACTGTAGGTATGGCTCACTCACCGCTCAATTCATAGGGCCTACCGGAGCCCTCTCTCGCACAACGCCATTGTATGCCATCGTATGGCGTGTTTCCGAGTGTTCCCATTATGTGCTCCAATTAGGGAATTGAGTTTTGGTACCTTTTATTACTAATTTAGGTTATTGTAGTGCGTGTTATAGTACTGAATGTTTATAGTCAAGTTAGCTTTGATTGGATTTTTTGCGTACAACTTATGGCAATATTTTTCTGGTGGTCAACTGCAGTCTCTGATTGGCTGACAGTTGCAGTCTATTGAAATCTATGTCAAAAACACGTGTTTCCAGTGTTTTCAATGCATTTTGTATGAGAAATATTTACACCATTTGTTTACTCATGTGTTCACTCATATCATGAAGACTTTGGATCAATTGATACCCAAATTCACGGGAATTAAGGCATACGAAGAGGACTTGAGATCCGTAGACAATACGTCCGCTGATGTCAAGCCAGTTGTTGCCAGCGATTCGCCGAAGAATGTCCGCCACAACAAGAAAGTCAAAGTTGTCGATGAAATTGATCCCAAACTAAGACAAGTGGCAAATGAGAAACGCCTGAAGACATTGCAGGATAAGTTAGATTATGATAAGAGACAACAATCGGTGGTAAAGGAGGCCATCAATAGCGACCAACGAGTGAACAAACGTATTGTCTTCAGCGATGATAATGACGTGCCATTTGATGGCCAACTGTCGGCGCTTTTATCCCAAGAGAAACGCAAATCAAGTGATAATTCGGTGCAGATGTCGAAAGCGAAGCAATTGTTTGACAGCGACTCCGATGATAGCGATGGAAGTGATGACAAGGAAGGCCTCAAAGACTTTGATTTGGATTTAAATAAGAAAATCAATGATAAAAACGCCGAAAAGTTGATTGAATTGAACGCCCGGTTCGCTCACGACTCGAGGTTTAGAATCGATGAGAGGTTTTTGGATCAGTTGGAAGATAATGGCGAAGAAGTGGTGGACGAGAAGCAAAAGAATTTGAATATTCTGGAGGAAGTTTTGGGCAAAAAGTTTAAACCGATTATCAAAACCAGTGATAATAGGAGTGAACGCATGAGTAATGCGAATGAAAATAATTTATTTGTTTCGCGATTTGATCCAAAGAGTGACAAGTCGTCCAAATATGAACTGAACACTAGTTCTTCAGCCAATAAGAAGCTTAAGAAAGTGTCTTTCGATGAGACAGTTGTGGCCAAATCTGATGATAAGAAGGTTGAGGTGTCCAAAGAGGTCTACTATGAAGTGAGTACTGATCTCATGGACTCGTTAGCCAAGAAAGATGACGAGTTTTCGTTGACACAAATGTTTGGATCAAATAGTAGTGAATCGGATGATCGCCGCAAAGACTTTCGCGCATCTAATGAACGATTAGATGATAAGCCAATTGTGAACAATAAGAGAAAACTGGTGACGAGTTTTCGTTGACACAAATGTTTGGATCAAATAGTAGTGAATCGGATGATCGCCGCAAAGACTTTCGCGCATCTAATGAACGATTACTACTATTCGGTTAACACTTGTTATTCTCTTTTGACCTACAATAAGGGTTAGGAAAGTTTATACTGTCGTCATCATCACTACTACTTCTCCTACTCCTTCTGCAACTCCAACACCACTTCCCTTCGTGTGATACACAGAGTGGTAGTGAAGTGAAACCCAAACCATCGCCCAATAGTTTCAAGTTTTTCTTCACCAAAAATGACAGCCGTTTTGCTGAAGACGTCTTTTACAGCAAAGAAGCCGTTGAAAGGGCGAGGAATGGCTCGAAAGACAGACAAATAATGCTAATGCGAGCCATGAGTGTCCGGAAGAGGTCGGCGAAGAAGAATAAGAAGTCCGAACAGAAGGTGTGGATTAAGTCGAAGAATAATAAGTTTAATCATAATTTTAAACGATTTAAGAAATCTTCAGAGGATTTAACTACTAATTAGGGTTTAATTGTAAATAAAAGTCAATAAATTATTTGTTGAATCATTTTATTTGTTATCAAATCTAATGAAATAATAATAAATTGATTTTAATGTCAACTATAAGTAAATTTTAAATGACTTTTAAGACAACTTTTAATGACTTTAAAAAACACATTACAATCCATAGTCTATGCGCCGATTACGGAGGCCTTCGACCCACTCCTGTAGGCGTTGATTACCGTCGCGTTTGTCTCCGTAGTAGTCTTTAGGCGGCTGTCCCTCAACGAGTCGCACGAAGTAATGGCAGTGGAAGTACCGGATCTCTCCGAACCTCATCCTCGCGTGCTTTCGGATGCCTTTCATGACATAGCCTTTTGTGGCGAAACNATTTGTAGTGAGAACTACACGAGTCTTGATTTGATCCAAGAATTGAATAATTGGATGACTTTTATGCAAAACTCAGCGCCCATTAGAAAGTCAGATATGGGGTCAGCGGTGGTGAACACCAGTGGGAAAGTGATCGCAATAAATACAGCCATTCATACAGTCATCTCATAAGGGATCACATCGTACTACAAGTGTGGCCACAGATATCATTCCCGGTTTGTTATAAACTTTATTATATTCGTATTACTAGTATAAACTCAATATTTGATTGACTTTTATAATGAAAAGATTACGTAAAGTATGTGAAACACAAATTAGTGAATCAATTAATAGAAAGCAAAAGTCCAGTGAATGATAGAAACAAATCCGTTGGTCTAATACTACACGCATTGACCCCCGAAAATAAACCCCTTTTTGAGAAGTGGGCCCAAAGTATAGGCCAACACTTTCCGAATGAGGACAAAGGGCTTGTGGTGTGGGGTGTGGCCAACGATATGTTAGTTATCTGTCTGTTAAATGAATGCGATTTTAATTATCCCTTCAATTCAGGAAACAACTCAAACCTCTGGATGTGATCACAGAAATTGATGGCAAAGTCATGAATTCAATGAATCATTTATACGAAGTCCTCGAAAGTGCAAAGTTTCCAATACTGATCTCATATAGACGTGAAACACGTATCTATAACCTGACTTTCATTGACATAAAGGATATCCAATGGACTATTCTTTGATCAATATTTGTATATCACTTTGAAAACTATATTTCGAAATGTTTTTATAACTTAAATGGTAATTAAATTCGGGTTCATTTCAAATAAAATAAATTTAGTTTTTTGTGAGTGTTGCTTTTACTTTTTATTTATACTGTATTTATATCGATATATGATAAAAAAAATGAATTTAATAGAAATGTTATAATGTTATTAAGTGCTATAATATTTCATTTTAGTTGTAATTCAAATATTTTTTGAGTATCATTTGAAACCAATTTAGTTTACAATAAATATCTCTGAATGATATAACATTTGAATTGATGGGAGTTTAGGACTTTTCTGTTGAAATGTCTGAAAACTTTGTCTTTGTTTAAATTTTTTATAAACCTTTTCTTATGTACAGAAAACTATTTAACATAACTTTAAACAACTTATTAATTAAATTTAACGATTAAAATTAATTTTAATTTGACATAAAAAGTTATAACCTCCTATTTATTTGCATGAGTTTTATGAACAGTACGTTAATTTTAGTCCCCTTTTAAACTTATTTACATTGAGTTACACACAAAAACTTGTTTATAAAAACGCCCCAAAACTGTCACATTATGTGTGAATGGGAAACACATGTCGTAAACAAACACTTGATTTACAAATGAATGAAATGTTGAAACAAATCACCAAAACTTGTCTACCGTTGCGACCAGTGGTCAGTCGGAGGATACCATTCCTCACGACCACTACCACCACATCCATGACCAGATGTGTGTCGACGACCGCCGGACGGCATACCTATCAATACAATTCCGATGGCGTGAAGCCATACCCGGAGCCCAAGCGATGGCCCGAAAAAAATCTAATCGTTTTGCCGCCGAAAGGGTTGTCCGAAGAACCGGAAGTTAGGGTCAGTTGTGGTTAACACTCGTGAGTTTGATTGGCGTCTAATTATCTCTTGACTATCGCTTCCGTAGACATACTGTCACTACAGAGCAAACATCAAATACTCGCCGAAGAAGATGTGGTTTATCACCAGTTTTGTACGTATAGTTCACGCCCTCTCACACACCCCCTTACCTCCCGTTCCCTTCACGCCATCATAATCACTCATATGTATTATGATGTGTCACTCAAACAGATCCGAGGCATGACTGTGGACGAGGCGGTCAAGCAGTTGGAGTTTGTGCCGAAAAAAGGCGCCCAAATCGTGAAGGAAGTGCTTCTGGAGGCCCAGGAGATAGCGGTTCGCGACCACAACTTCGAGTTCAAGTCCAATATGTGGATCGGCGAGAGTTTCGCCACAAAAGGCTATGTCATGAAAGGCATCCGAAAGCACGCGAGGATGAGGTTCGGAGAGATCCGGTACTTCCACTGCCATTACTTCGTGCGACTCGTTGAGGGACAGCCGCCTAAAGACTA